TAAAGTCTAGTAAAACGCACATAAGATAAATATCATTTGCATTTATTACACGAATTAGAAGAGCTTGCCAGCTGGGGAGCTCTCCTCCAGCAGGGCTGTCATTTCCGACGAGAGAAAAGCACCAGCACTACCCAGCTGTTTGGGGCCTGTGATGTTCCCAGTCCTAGAAAACCATCGCCCCTGGCTTCTCGCCATAATTAGTCAGCGCTAATACCCTTGGTTAGTCTGTGGAAAAGTCACATTCTGAAAGATCACCCTTGCGAACAGCCGTACTCCTGAGACAAAACGTCACCACTCCAAGCTGTCAGCCAATTCATCTCCAGCGAAAGTCACCCGGGCCATAAATTGGGAGTCCTTTATCTCAGGACAGCAGACCGAGCGGGGTTTAATTGCTGAGCTATGCTAATGAGCCTTGTTTGTGACACAAGGTGCTTCACGGTGGCTCTGTTTGAAAACACGGTATTGTAACCCCCCTGAGGGTACATACAATCAGCTTAAAAACACGGCCCGTCTGGGTACAGCAAAGAAATCATGTATCGTTCCCTTCAGCATGGCACGTTATCAAAGGCATCATTAACAGCTGCTTCGTGGAGTGGCGGGAGCCTCTCCTGGTTCAGCTCAGCGCCGTTCGCTCCTATTCTTTCCTCCCTTCTTGTTTTTTGTAAGTCATGAGTTCTGTAAACATCACTGTCAAATCATCTGCAGGGAACAAAAAGATATTGCGAATTAAGCCTAGCAGATAAGGGCTGTGTCTGTTTTTAAAGGGAATTAAAAAAAAAAAGCAAAGCAAAAAAAAAAATTCCCAGCAAAAAGCGAAGACAAAAGAACAGCGGCAAAAGAGTTTCTCGCTGACCTTTGAGATAAAATCTACTGCAGCCTGGATTTCACTTTGTTCTTTTTGGATTAGAATCTATGATTCTACGATTCTGTGATTAGGGGCTGCAGTAGTGAAGACAGTATTTTAACGTTCGCATTTAGGAGAAGACTAGCACAGGTGGACACAATGCCACAGGTTTCCTTGTCCAGATATCATACGCTGCTTCTTTTGCACCATTAAGGATGAGGCTTTCTTGGCACAGAAAGCCCAAGCCACATTTCTGGAGGGAAGGCCAGTGATCAGCATCTTTAAAAATCAGTAGTACTTAAATATGGCATTATTATTCTTATGGTACTACCCAGGGATGCGTGACAGGCACTGCAGACCCCGTGTGCTAGATGCTCTCCACATCTCTATTTCCCCAGCCTGCGATCTTTTAACCTGGGGGCCCGACCTCGCATACGCTTACACACTCGAGTAACTGCCAGCATCACACGGCCCAACTGAAATCAACAAAACTGATGAATGGAATTAAATCAGTAATTACCCATGTCCTTAATTATTTGCAGAACTGGGGGCTATGTGCTTCATTTTTAGCTTTTTGCTTGAAAACATCAGTTTTAATCTAGCGTGCCTCACTTTGCGCTCAATCCCACAAGGAACAGCGACGTCTGGCCTAATTAAGCAAAAACACTTAACGAAGTGTTTAACTTTAAGCATGTGAATACGCCCATTGACTAAATGCTGCGTTCCTTGGGTCAGCACACTCTTCCCCTTGCAGGATGGAAGACCCTGCAGCCTGGGGATTGGGGGTAACATAACTGAGGTTGGGGAGCGGGACTCAAACCCCCGGGCTGCCCGCAGCCGCCCACGCAGGGCACTGGCACCTCGGGGCATGCCGGGTGCTGCCCAGCGGGGTGGGTGGTGAGAGCTGAGGATCCACCAATCCCCTTCCCCTCCCTTCCCTTCCCTTCCCTTCCCTT